CATAAAAGGAATCAGTGACATCCACCCACAGGCTCAGAATTATATTCTTCAGTTACGACTTTGTTATACAGGGGATGAAACAGGCAGAATGTAAAGTGAAGAAAGTATAGATAGATAGATAGATAGATAGATAGATAGATAGATAGATAGATAGATAGATCAGCTTCAGACACTGTTAAGCTGTGGTCATTTGCATAACAGTGAGGTCACCATCGGAGTGTGACTGGAATGAGAGCAACCTTCCTTTCCCACACAAAAAGCACAAATACAATGTACACATGTACACACAAAGGACACCCCCCCCCCCCCCCCACACACACACACACACACACACACAGGGTGAAGAGGTGATGATCAGGCAGTGCCAACGGGAATATTTCTCTTAAATAGGTTCTGTCATCTTCAGCTCCACATCCTGAATATATCCAGAGAGGGGACACGGCTTTTTCAAAGGAGACCTTATATGTGCACAGAATTACAGAAAACTCCCCCAGGTCTCTGATTGGGAAAACAGCTCAGGGCCACAACTTAACACTATAAAGTGGATTCCTCTCCATCATCTGCGCTCATCTCAGTGGAGTAAATAGCTTCCTGTGGGAATTCATTAGCTTGCTTTTCACTTCCACCTGAAAGAGCCCTCCCTTTCAGATCAGATTAAGTACAGGCACAAGAGAATGCTTATGTTCTATTGAAATCCAACGTCTTTGAATCTTTTCTGTTTCTAAGCATTTAGATGCACCCAAGGTTGGTCCGGTCTTTCCTCAACTGCTCTTTTCTTTCCATGTTCAGTCCTATTTGGCACTGTCATTTCTCACTGCCAACTCAGGGACAGCCATTCACCATGACAGCAGCTTTGGAAAGGCTGATGCCACGCTCCATCATCAATAGCTTCTCTATGTCTCTTGAGGAAGTGCTCAGAGAGAGATCTAGCACAAGCCCAAGACACTCCTTTTACATCATGTTATTAGCCACAATCTGGCTGTTTGCAGTGCAAACATACTGTTTTTGTGTTAACAGCTGGTTTCCAAAATGTACAGTTTGAGTGGTGCGGGAATGTGTGTGCATACATTGTTTCACAGCAAAAAAGATCTCTTGGCATGATGAGGACATGCCACATGTGATGGTAATAAAAGTTTAAAGGCATCATCTGTTAGTTACAAGATGTAAGGTATTGGCCTGTATGGAGAGACCAACACTCGCTGTGTTCCCATCACTCTTCCCTTCCACAGCTGCTTATCACCAAGATGATTTAACCGAACTCTCAGCAGAAGCTCCTGACTGCAGAGTAAAGATATCTACAGAGCAAAGAATGAATATAAACAATAACTATTCCCTTGAGGTCCTATTCCCTCATGTTTATCTGTGCTGTGCCACAGAGCACTATACAAACATTTTCTTTCCACAAGAGTTGCTTATGTTTTAGCTGCTACTGACACCCAACAGGCCAGTGCTCAGCAAGTCGTACCCCATGATCTCTGCAGGTGCCATTCCATTCATTATTCACCGCACTGACCATCCTCTGAATTAAAGATACAAGCTTTGACTGCTCATTTTTTTACAGGACAAAATATCCTTACAGGCACACACTAGCACACTTCTAAATTGTGTACAAATGTGTCTCTGCATGTGTGTGTATGTCTATGACCATGGGTGTGTGCTTGAGAAAGAGAAAGACAGTTCGTTTAAACATAAAGGTATTTGAATGCGTCTGTGTGTATGCAAGGGTGAGCGTGTAGTGCTTTCACTACCGGTCAGCATGTGTTCTGGTGAATCCCCACGATGGACCAGCTAGTCCTTTGTTCACTGTTGTTCATCCTTTGATGATCCGGTGCATGGCCTTTAGGGAGGGCCTTCATCTTCCAACACAGACTGATGGACTGTCTTGAAGTCTTTCAGGGACATATCTTTTCACTGTTCTACAAAAAAGCACCAGCGCTGAGTAGTCTGCATGCATCTGAATGCCAGCAGAATCAGTTAGCTGGGTATGTTGTGAGATTGCATTGACAGAGACGTGCTCACAACTAAGTTAGCTATTTGATGGGAAAATAGCGGCTGACGTGGGTGTCTACCGGGGGACGGCTGTTTTTAGGCTTTTCCACAAGCATCCGGGGGATCTCATCCTTGTGTCTGTTTCTTGCTTTGTGCAAAGACCATGTGTTTGCATAGATGGTAGCCCACACATGCTCTTGACTTTTCTACAGTTTCACTGAAGCTCACCACCTTAAAGGGGCACTCCGCTGATTTTACTCAAAAAGGTCAGTTTACCAATCATGGAGAGTACTACTTAGAATATTAAAACAGCTGTATTTTGTTGTCTGTGGCTCTAGAGGAAGCTTTCTAATGTCTGAGAAAATGACATTATCATTCTCATCTCATCATTCTCAGGTTGGGCTTGACACTTTAAAGCATAGAAAGAAAGCCTGCGTTACAAATGGAGTGTGCAGAGTTTGAAAGACGTGACAATAATTTTTATTAACAGGCAGGAAAAGGCTAATGAAAGATGTTATTTAGTTGCATTATAGGAATCGTAAAACAAAGTCCTCAAAATTAAACAAGCCCTCTAGATCGAAACATAATAGCATCTTCTGATCTGACACCCCATCAGCAGGATGACATTATTTGTCTCTATACGTGTCATTTACACTGGGTACGCTGGGGACATGTCCCCACCAATTTTTTAAAGCATAATTTGAAAAAACATTCTGAATATAGCTTGCAGTTAAATAACGCAGATAAATAATGAAATGCCTTTATATAGCCAATGCCTTTATATAGCCAAAATATAGAAGAAACAAATGTGCATTGTCCAAAAGAAGTGACTTAAGCCAAAAAAAACAAAACAAGCTACTGATTAGAAAATGTTTGTCTGTGACAACAAATCATGGTGCATTCCAGTTGTACGGTGAAGTCGGAATTTCTGAATTCCTAGTCCGAAATTTCAACTGGAACGCCCTCTTCAGTCAGATTTCCTTCTCGGAAATTCGGGAGAACCGCACTACCTGCGACTTTGTGCTCCAAGATGGTTGCTCTTTATATCAACAGTGAAAGCTGTAGTTTAAACTGTTTATTAGCACTTGTGTTACTATGTTTAGTATGAGTACCCTTATCAACCGGCGCTGGTAACAATGGCTAACCAGGCTATGTTGGCTGAATGAGGTTTTCCAACTTATTAACTGGAGGTAAATGGATCGCACCATCACTGTTGAAAAAAAAGTTGTTTCATGATGTGACACTATACTCTATTTCAGTGTGGCAAGGTTTAGCAAAAAACAACTTTGTTAGGTTTAGGGAAAGATCTTGGTTTCGGTTTAAATAATTAATATAATTACTATAAAATTTAGAAATGAATAACACAAGCTTTTATTAGCTTAATCACTGAACTCACCATGCCTACATTTGGGACAGGCCTATAATACCTTTACCATGCTGGTAAATCTGAACGAATAACACATCGGTGCTCATTGTGTCCGTAAAATGAACTAAACAACTGAATTGTGGAGAATCTAACTAATCGAACAATGTGTATCATGTCCATATTTACAAAAGTTTATATTTATAGTATGCACAATCTAAGCAGCTTAGAACTAGCTCAAGCAAGTGACCCAGTGGGCTTTAAGAGGTTTTGTACATCCAGAGAACTTCTTATTGAGACCTGCATTTATTTGTCAAAATCAGCTACACCAGGCCAGTAAAACTGGACTAGGCTTTTAATCAAAATTCTGCGTTATATGGCCACAGCCTTTGTCACTTTAAAGTAAATGTCGTTCTGGGCCACTTGCTACCAGTTTCAATTATAGGATTGGGTGTTTTTGGAGCTTGACTCTACTAGGGACTAAAAGTCAGGATATCTCAACCTCTGCTGCTTCGATATTGACCATTCTTTTTTAAATCCTTTTTCCTGTGAGACGCCCAACTTTATGGAAGTGCAATACATAATTTTAGCAGAGAAATGGCAACCTTGTGGGTCGAGGAGTACAAGTCTCCTACAGCTTTAAAAAAAACTTAAATCAACAGAAATCTTCAAAGTGTTTGCCTCTGAAGCTAAGTTAAAGTAAACACAAAGAGCTGCATAGCAAAGCTGATCCATATTGTCGACTTGCTGGCTGACTTACTTGCTCTATTCATGAATGCGTGGCTTGTTTATGTTAGTATGAGACGGGGGTTCACTTTTGAATTTGCATGGCTGCATAGAGAAGTAGTGGTGAATGCAAGACGATGGTTTGTGGCTGAAAGTTTTCAACCTGCTAAAGTAAAAAGACAAGGTACACACAGCAGCTTTCATTGCTGCCACTGTACAATAAAGGAATACCTTCTCCTTCCTGTGTTTACTTACTTTACAGTGAGAATCAAAGACAAGTATTTCAGAAGATCTCTGAATTTAAGTTTTCTGGAAAAATAGGAGGATTGCACTCCTTTTGATGATGAGTTTCTGTTCAAAGCACAGCCTGCATTTCCTAAATCTCTACAGTTGAGGTGTTGAGTACGATTTTATCAATAGTCATAGAGGAGAAAAGTATGAGAGTACAACCTGCTTGACAAATGTCATAATTTTAAAGTGTGGATTGGAGAGGCAGACACAGTTATTAAAATAGGATACTGATACCCATGTGAAACTGACTGTACCATATTTGTGTGGCTAAGTTTTAGCATTGGCCAAAGTTTCAGTTCACAGTAACTATAATCAGTACACTTCACACCAAAATTAAATTTGCATGGGACAAACTGTATAGTGGACAGGAACTTTAATATTATCATTATGGTTGTTTTGACAGCTTTGTGCCACACACATTAAGGAATCATATTGAAAGTTATTTCTATATGATGAATTATATTTTTCTGGAATGTATTTAGTTTTTAAAAAAGATCCCAAGTAATGTTCCTGTTGTAGCCTATGGTTGCCATAATGACTGAATGGGGCGTTTGAGTGCGTGCCTGTTTGTGCTCGTGAGAGAGAGAGAGAGAGAGAGAGAGAGAGAGAGAGAGAGAGCAGGATCTAGTCTGTTTCCCGTAACAGCTGGTGTCGGGGCGTAATGACCTTTTGTCTCCGAGCTGTCAGGTACGGAGAGGGAGGCGGAGATTCAGAAGGAGCCGCTTCATATCGGACTGGTCCCGGCGTCCCGGACAACAAATGGCCGTGAACCGACAGAGAGGCAGAGTGTGATCCAGGTTTCTCTGTTTCTCTCAGTGCGACTACAGTGAGAGCTGCCTCCATGCCCACATAGTAGGTTAGAGAGGGCAAGAAGCGCTCTTTATCCTCACACTCAGTACATTTCATCCATCTGGCAGAATGATGGGAGAGTCCTGTTGACACCACGGAGAGATATACGCTGAGACCGACTATGGCTGTGGACGGTAAGAGCGCTTACTATTCCTTTCCCTTCTCTAAAGCATATAACAAGCCCCACAGTATTTAAACAGGGACTTAACGTGGCACTCAAAAATTACTTCACATTGACCATACAGCACTTTCAGATTGTTTTAAAATCTCACATTAGACCTCAGCAGTATATTCAAACAGGATTTCCATAGGGACATGTGCTTATTCTGAAATTAGTTTCTTTAAAAAACGCATTGAAATATGGACAAAAGCCTTACTGTATGCTGCAATACAGGCATAATTTCCTTGATTTTAGAATAACCTGCTGTATCTTCATTATACTGACCAAAACAAACCATCAAAGTTGTTTCTGACCATATTTCAGATTTATTTTCTGTCAGGCTAACTTCAATTTGACATAATCCACTTAGAAACGAATGAATGACCCATGCAGTCACAAAGCTGTGGAGCTGAAATTCATCTACATATAAGTGTTTAATTCATGCAATGTTTAGGAGTAGCCTATATTAATATTCATTGCAGATAAGCCCACAGATTCTTTGGTGTACTGAAAATAGAACAATAGGCCTATTGAAGTTCAGTGCTTTTCGTTGGTCATTTTGTAGGTTACTTGATGTTCTATATTTGTGGGCCAGCACCTGCTGCACCTGGATAAATTACAGCCAGTATCCAGCTCAGGAATACAACAATGAGGCAGCATATCTTTGTTCTTCATTCTTGTGTTTGATAAAAAGCTGTAAACAGATGCTGTGAGCAGATGTGCTCTTTTGTACAAAAATAAATATGCTGTTCTGTTGTGTATGAAATCAAAGTAGTGGGGCCCCAGGACTTGACCAAGGTGTGTTTTTGTTTGTTTTGTCGGAGTGTTTTTTTCTTACAATAATTTAAGCAAAACCATAACAAAATGCACACCTTCACCATAATCCAAACCATTTTATTAACTTAAAACCCAAACAAGCTCAACTGAATATGGAAAATATTACAAATTTGCTATAAAAAAAAGGCATCAGCTCTTGTTGTCTAGACGACAAAAATGTGTTTGAATTAGAGCTGCAAAACCAATTACTTTTATTGCAGATTATTTTCTCAACTAATCAATTAATTGTTTGGTCTATTAAATGTCATAAAGTTGTTTGCTTTGTCTGAACAACAGTCCAAGACCCAAAGATTTTCACTTCATTATAATGTAAAACAGCGAAAAGCAGCAAATCGACATATTTGAGAAGCTGTTGACAGAAAATGTTTGGGTTCTCTGGTGACTGATTGTGTCGTTTGGATATCACAGCAAATCACCAAAGTTCTGCGAGAACAAGCTGACACTGATCAAACATCTTTGCAAATGAGATCACGTTCATGCAGCCTCAGCCTAAAACAAATGTGTGTTTTGAGCCTCTGAGATATACTGTAAAGCCATTAATGTTCTATGTATGAAAAGCTCTTTAGCATTTTTCGATTGTTTGTGTTGTTTTTGTTGTTGTTCTGCCCCTTTCTCTGTCCAGTGCTTGGATGGCTGTTGTTTCCTCCGGGCTAACTAACTTAAGTGAAGCCTAATCAGTGCCTCTCTATGCTCAAGGGCAATAATGTGTGTGTGAGAGCATCAGTATGGTGCCAAGTTGTTTTCCATCTGTCCTCTGTCTTCTAAAGCAGGTTAGCTCTTTATTAGCATGGCTGCAGTTAGGACACTCAGTCAGATATGCATATATGCACAGTGACACATTGGGCTATCTATAATTAATCCATAGTTTACTTAAGCATCATTAATTTACTCAGTGCCTTGGGCATTGATGCCACCCTGACAATGTGCTATGCCATTTAAACTTTGAAGAGTGTTGGTCCTTATGAAGACATACACAGTTTGAAGACATACACAGGGCTTGATTTAGAACCAGATTCACTAAAGCCACTTTTCGACCAAACACTTTTGAAACCAATACCTTACTACATACTTAAACCCTAGATATGTTTTGCATTTCGACTGCAGAGAGTACTCTCAAATGCAGGAGGGGTTGTTACCGGATAGTAATTGCGTCAACCACAGGAGTAGTGTGACATTGTATCTAATGTGACACAGTAAACAAATGAACACACAGTGAATGTTTTGTGTTCTCTCTTCTCAGTATGTGGCTGTTTATTACAAGGTGTAATACAACAAGGTGTCTTTAAGTCTCGGGTCAGTGTGCTAGGTACCTCAACAGAAGGGTAACAAAAAAAATCGGGAAATTGAGTGGTTCTGCTGGTTTCATCAACAACGTTTGCCAATGGAAACAATGAAAATAACCGTTGTAATGTGTAACAAACTGAACTAAATTGAGCTGGACAGCTTGGTGGAAACGTGGCTTAACACTCATCTTGCATTTTAGGGCAGAGACTCGTATTTGAGAAGATTTTGTCTGAGATGTTGATCTTTTCACAATATTTTATGCTATTTTATTCAGAACTGGATTACCGAACTGTTAGTGGGAATGTAATCACAAAAAATAAAAGTACAAAAACTTTGTATATGATATTTTGAACATTAATATAGCAACAAACTACTAATATGTAAAGAGTAATGGCGTCCTCAGCAGAGAATGACATCACACTCCCTAAACGCGTGTTTTCATCTGAGCTTCTCCCATCTTTGTTTTGGTAGCCGGTCTGGCCGAGCATGCACGTTATAGTGCATGTGAGTCCTTCACTGTGGAGAGTGATACAATGGTTGGTTATTGTTTCAGTTAACACCATGAACTAAGGATTTCTTTAGACCAAACAGAGTTGGTGATTGCTGGAACTAAGGAAAGACTAACAACGATGGTTTGGGTGAATTTTATTTTGTTTCTGTCCAGTTTGAATGAAATGTATTTAACAATGATCTGCAAGGTCAAAATCCTTTTTTTCTCAGTGGAGTCTGGTGTGCCGTAGTGCCCATTTGCTTTGGTCTGAGATGATGGTGCTCTAGTGCGACATTTAGTGGCAGTGAATGGTTCATACAACTGCTTTAAATTAGGAATACTAATTACTCACACAAATCCTTCATTCCATCCTGAAAATGGAGATAGAGCAAGGTTAAACCACTCCACATTTTACTGTAAGACATCCTGAATCCCAATTTGTTGACTTTGTGAATTTGTGAATGTTTTAGGTGGGGTATGTACAGTACAATAGCTGAATTGATTGATAATGTTTGCATCCATTTCCATTTGTCAGGAGTTTGCAGTGCATTGTTATGTAGGCTGTCAGCTACAGGCCTGTGACACTATCAATTACAAGGGGTGATCTGCATTTTAAATGGTATAATTTTTTATTTCATTTTTTTTCTCATCTTCATGTAAATTGCAAAGTGAATTACAGTCTCATTCTTGCTGCCTGATGCACAGCGAGTCACGCTATATAATTATACCTCCGTGTTTGGCTATTCAGAGTGGATGAAATTTATCAGACGATTACTTAAATCACCCAGGACATGTGGCTGTATTGTCATATCTGAGATAAGCAACCATACAAATGATGCCACTGGGCCACTGTATTGTCCAGTTCATAACATCCAGGAGCAGGGATTTTTTTTCAGAGGAGGAAGAGAGAGAGCGAGTAGCATGGTCCATCCCCTATTTACATTAAGACTAGACATGTGTGCAGTTGTGTGTGTGTGCGTGTGTGTGTGTGCGTGCTTGCGTGCTTGCGTGTGTGTCCACTCGAAGAAGCAGGCCTGACTAAGCTCAGCATGCAGGATACCCAAAGAGTTGGGCTGGTGCAGAGAATGCCAGGGTGGCTTCCATCCATCCGTTTACAGCTAGACATATGTGCACAAGCTGGATCTGAATCCAAAAACAATTTATTTATTTATCTCAAACCCTGTGTCTCTCTGAGCATGTGGGCAGATAGTCCACCGTAGGAGGGTCGGTGGTGTCTATTTTCTGCCTACATGATGGACATGTGAGTAGGAAGGGGGCTAACAGATATGGAGAATTGTGTATGCAGTAGATGTCTCCCAATAACAAAAATGAAAAACACTGATGCCTCTCCACAGAAAAGTATTACTGGAATTAAACAGAGAGGAAATTTTTGCTGTGTTAAATCTAGGAACTGGCAACTCTAGTCAAGGAACGATCACATCTCTTTAACGTTGTTAACCCTTTCCTCAAAACCCCCATAGCACACAAACACAAACTTTCTTCTGATCAGGTCACACTCATGGGAAATAATAGCTCCTTTCCAGTGTGGCGCTTCCGCAATGCCACAGGATTCCAATTTGTATGTGTGCATGTGAGTGTGTGCATGTTTTTGGGTCCATGTGAGTGTTTATATTTGTGTGTGTGAACTTGCAGATGAAGCAGAAGGCGAGCCAGCACCTCAGGGGGTGGGATGGTGGGGGAGACGGGGGTGTAGATTGTTAGCTTTACACAGACAAATACACCCTTTGTTGTTTTCCTGGCATACGTTGCGTCGTCTGCTGGAGACAGCAACCATTTGGCGCAATTGGTGTTGGAGCCAAATGTGTTTCTGGCCTCTGTAGTAAAATAATATGGTAATAGTGTGTTAACCCTCTCAGTTACAGTGGCTCAGAGGGGTCATACAGCGATTTTACGTGTGTGTGTGTGCGTGTGAGAGAGCATACAAGCTGTTAACCTCTTTCCTCTGTCCATCATCATCCCCTTCCTCCTCACAGAGGGGAGTGTGTCACTCAATAAATATAATGCACGAGCAATCCTCTTGAACACACACACGCACACACAATCTCCCGTCATCCATCATCAGCTCTCTGATCCACCACAGCTCTGCAGCTGCACCTGTCCTGAGCCTGTGGATATAAGACTCACAGAGAGAGGAATAAAGACAAAGTGGACAGTGGGAGGAGACAGAGAGGGGTGTGTTTGTATAAACTGGGACAGTGCCTGAAAGATCCTTGACTGGAAAAGTATTCATAAATCTTCAAGGATTATGTGATATTTATTACAACATGGGTCTTATTTTTACAGTTTTGGCCATCACTGGTTACGATAACCAGCAGTTAAACCAGATTATCTAAACCACTTTA